GCCTCCCAGAGTGCTAGGATTACAGGCGTGAGCCACCACGCCCGGCCAAGCCCTGTCTTTTCTTGCCAGCCTTCACCCTCGTGCAGGACCACTGTGCTTTCCTGCCGTAGCCCCTGCCCACAGCACATCCTGGCCACGTCCCACCCACCCCTTCCTCAAGACTCAGTGCGATGCCCTCTCCTGAGCCCCCCGCCACTTAGTGATCGCCTGTCCTCTGAATGCCCTCTTCCAGATGCCCACCCCCAAAGTGTGCTGTTTCTCACTTCCCACAGTGCATTGCAGCCACGAATGCTCCTTTGTAGTCACCTCCCCTCCTGAACTGGGTCAGAACTCACCTACACCTGGCACAGAGACCGAATGAGTGGTTGGATGGCTGGATGGGTGGGTGGCTGGGGCATATGAATGAATGATGCATTGCTTCCAAGGAGCATAGCCACAAATCCAGACAAAAAGGGACCCCACCACAGCTGAGGCTGGCCGTGCCCAGCCCTGCAGCCCTCTCCCCACCCCATGTGTTCCCATGGAGCCCTCATTTGGTGTCTCAGAACTGGTCCTTCCCTCCACCACCCCCATCAGCCGCAGGGATCTCAAAGCACAAGTCCAAGCAGTCCCGGCCCCACAGGCAGCGGTCCCTCAGCGACAGCAGCCAGCTGCCCTCTCGGCCTCAGAGTGCTCAGATGTTGGCCGGCAACAATTCAGGTAGCTTCCTTCTGGAGGGAGTGTTCTTCCTGGTGGCCTTGGCTCTGCCCCAGGCCTCTCCTCCTTGCGCCGCTGGCCCCCTTTCCTGCCCGTGCTGGTTTATACCTGTTTCCCTGGAGAGAAGGGCCTGGGAGCCAAAGGATGGGACGGGAGGAGAAAGAGAGAAAACCCCTAGTGACTGAGTGCTTGACATGCACCAGGTCTGCGGGGTAGATACTGTGGCTGCCCCATTTCACAGAAGAGGAACAGGAACAGGGACAGGGTCTGCCACCCACGTCTCTGGCTCCAAGGCCACATCCTTCCCCTGCTCACATGTGCTGACTCTCCTGGAGCTAGTGCTCCCAGGCTCTGCATGGTGGCTGGTGGGCATGGGGCCATGAGCAGGTCTGGAAGGTCCCTAGGGTCCCCGATTGCCCTGCCCCAGGAGCTAAATCATGGCTGAAGGGGAGGGAGCTAAGGGCCCCAGGGCTCGGCCACACAAGGGCCTGGGGATCTTATAGGAGCCGCTGGCCTGGAGCCAGGAAGCTGGATCACTATCAAGTAACTTTGAGCAAGTCTCTCCCTCTCCAGACCTCAGTTTCCTCATCTGTCATCAAGGGGTTGCTGGGTTAGTGCATCTTAGAGTTAGGGCCCCTCCATGAGGATCTAATAAAAGGCGCCAGCCTTCCTCCTTTAAACAGTTAATGCACCCAATTGCAAATGCTTGCAGGAGGTTCGGGGTCCCCTGGAGCCCCCACACCAGGGTAATGCAGACATTACCCTAGATCAGTGGCCCCCAACCTTTTTGGACACCAGGGACCAGTTTCATGGAAGACAATTTTTCCACGGACTGGGGGGCAGGAGGGATGGTTTCAGGATGATTCAAGCGCTTTAACATTTATTGTGCAGTCAAACCTCTCTGCTACTGATAACCTGTGTTTGTTCCGCAGAGCTAGCATCACCGCCTCAGCTCCACCTCAGATCATCAGGCATTAGATTCTCATAAGGAGCATGCACCCCAGACCCCTCGCACGCACAATTTACAGTCGGGTTCACGCTCCTATGAGAATCCAATGCAGCTGCTGATGTGACAGGAAGCGGAGCTTATACAGTGACACGAGCGATGGGGAGCGGCTGTAAATGCAAATGAAGCTTTGCTTGCTCGCCTGCAGCTCACCTCCTGCTGTATGGCCGGCCCAGTTCCTAACATGGACCAGTACTAGCCCGCAGTCTGGGGGTTAGGGACCGTGGCCCAGATGCTCTCCAGCATCCCTTCCACCCCAGCACGCAGTGAGGGCCTGTGGCTGAGGGAGGGGGCCGCAGAAACAGCGTAAGTGGCAGTGGTGATGATGACACCCGTTTTCATCGTGGCCTCCTCACCAGCCATGCAGTTTAGGAGCTTCACACACATGAGCCAATTTTAACCACACACCAACACTAAGAGATAGGGACCGTTGTTAGCCCTACTTACAGCTGAGAAAGCTGAGGCACAGAGAAGTTAAGATAATTGCTGTAGGTCACACAGCTAGGAGGTGGCAGAGCTGGAATTCAAAGCCAAGCCCTCTGGTCCCAGAGGTAATTAAGGGGCTGGGATGGAGGGTTTCAGAGGTGGACAGTGAGCACAGGACTGTCTCCCAGACCTGTTTTCTTGGGGATACTCAGCTCCCTTCCCCTAGTCACCCACTGTCTGCTCTAAGGGCATTTAAAATGTTATGGAAGCAGGAGAGAGGGAGATGGTCGTCTTAGGGAAAATTCCTGCACCTGTGTGAATGTCGCCTAGTCCCCGTGTCAACAGAGGAGACATTACCAAAGAGGCAAACTCTTGGCCCCTGCAGGAGGGCTTGCTTACATATTTATTTTTCATTCACAAAGATATAAAGGGGCCTTATGTGTTTGCTTAGGAGCTTGCACGGAGCACCCCAGCCCCGGCCACTCCCCTCTCCAGTTTTATGTCCCGTCTCAGCCAGGCTAACGGGCCGCTCCCGACTTCCCTGGTTTTGGGCGAGCTGGGGGGCCCCTGGCAGGTGTGGGAGTTGAGACAGAGCAACCTCAGCCCCTCCCGTCTTGCAGCTTCTACACGCCACAGGAAAGACAGACCCATCTCCTCTGAGGGGCGTCTCTCCCAGCCGAATATAGCCCACCCACCCAGCCCCATGGAGATGGCAGACCTGCAGGGCAGCCCCCTGGGGCTGGAGATGCACATGGACGTGCCTCCAGGAGAGGGGATCGAGGAGCCCACCCGGGGGCCGCGGTCCGCCACTGTTCACCGACCAGAGCGATAAATAAATGTTCAGGAAAAAGTTCAGGTTGGGCGAGGCTTCTCTGACAGTCCTGGCTCAGGAAGATGGAGGGAGAGGGAGGTGCCGGCTGCTGGCCAGGCAGCCAGCCGCCCGACCTGCCTCCAGACCACCCCCAGGTCCACTGAGCAGACCTCTTGGAGAGAGGGTCTGGTCTGTAGCCTGAGGATTAAGCCTACAGCCTCTATTCTCTGAGGGTGCTGGGGCTTCAGGATGGCTGGGCATTGCACCCTAGGCAGGGAGGGCGACACAAGCCAGACCCCAGGCTCCGGGCCTGGCCCTGGGAACTGGCTGAGCCTGCTCTCACCCCAGCAGCTCTCTTGATCTTGGCTAGACCTGGGGTGCTGCTGCCTTCCCTGGCTCCTGCCCTGCCTTCTGGCCTGAAGGGCACCCTGCTTGCTGAGGCCCTCTGGGCAGGCTGGGGCCTGTGCTGTGGGTGTCGTGCTGCACCTTGGAGGTGAGGGGGGCAGCTGCCTGCTGCTCTCCCCACTGCTGGCTCAGGGCAACTCCTGGCACAGGGTCCCAGAGAAGCAATGTCACCAGCTGGAAGAAAATCCCTGCAGCCAGCTGGAAAGTCTCTGTTTGCCACCCTCTACTGCTCAGCCTTGAGTGGGCTCGGGCCAGGGGTTGCCATGGCTAATGCCCACTCTCCCTGTCCCCTTCCTCCCCAGGGAGATAGGGCACAGAAGAGTGGCTTGCCAGGGGGATGGAGAGGTGGGACGAGCACTGGCCCAGAGGACTGTGACCGTGTCCTTGGCCTGTTCGGCTCAGTGTGCTTACCTTCACACTAGCCCCCAACCTGCAAGGACTCCCTGCTCCCCCCGCCCCGCCCCCAGTCCCTTGTGCTAAAGGTCTCGGTGGGTGGGAGGGGACAGAGGAGTAGGGGTGGGCCTGAGCTCAGGCTGGTGCAGCAACAGCCAGGGACAAGCCCCACCACGACTGCAGCCAGATCCTAGGGGGCCCCTGAGATGGGACAGCTGCCCCCCACCAGGCCTGTAGAGCCCTGAAGTCAAAGCAGTTCTGTCTGCCCCAGAGACTCCAACCCAGAGAAGGAAGTACCAGATCAAAGACGGGGCTGCCCCCACCTCCAGTTCCCATCTCCCCCCCCCGACATGGGAAGGGGATGACAAGGGCAAGAAGCCCGCTTTGGGGTGTAAAGAGGAAAGGAAAGAGTGGCAGGAAACAGCCCAGAAACGGGTTTCTCACCCCTGACATGGCGTGGGGTGCCGCGGGGGGCGGCGGGGGCTCCTTCCTGATCTGCGGAGAGCCAGTGACTCTTTAGGTAACAACATACTGCTCGCGGCTGGATGGGGAGGAGCCGCTTGGACAGTGGAGTCCTGGGTGGGCTCCCCATGCCCGTGTCCCTCTGTGCCCCTCTCTTGCACGTAGGAGGCAGAGCCAGGGCCGGCCCCTCCTCCACCCCAGCCAGCTCCTGTTTCTCTCCCTCAGGCCCCACCCTGGCTGTGAAATGTCAGAAGGTCGGCTCAGTTTCCCTGGTCTAGAAGCCAAATTCACCACCAGCTTGGCAGGGAGGAGCAGCCTAGCCCTTCTCACCCAGGCCTTGCCCCACACCCACAGAAGGGCCAGGAGTGACATTCCCAGAGCCAGCCAGGCCAACCCCCACCATGCCACACCTGCCTGGGCACGGCCAGCGGGCTCTCTTGCCAGGCTGGGCCCCGCACCCAGGCACGACCCTAACCCAGGCCCCAGCAGCCTCTGGGGATGTCAGAGCATGACCACCCACGTGCTGAGGGGCTGCCCCTTGCAGCCTGGGAAAGCACAGGTGGGCAGGGGAAGGGGTGAGGGTGGGAGGAGTTTCAGGGGTTCCAAGCAGGAAACAAAACTGAAAGGACAAACCCAGCTCCCAAGTACATGGGTATGTCACATGCAGCAGAGGCAGAGAGCAGCTGGGTCGACGTCCTGCTCCACTGAAGGAGGGGCTGCCCCACCACCGAGTGTGAGAAGATACGAGAAGGCCCAGAAGCAGGATGGGGTGGCTGCCGGGCTGAGCCTGCTTAAGTTTCACTTCACTTTGGGCCTGAACCTCCAACCCCCAGTCCCAGTCTGTGTCCCAGCAGCACTAGGTCCCTCTCAGACCGCCACAGAGAATGAGACGCAGGAGGGCAGGGCAGGAGAGGCTGCCCAGAGCGTGTGGTTGTGCAGGCCAAAGCTCAGGGAGGGATCAACATGTGGCCTGTCACCCACTCCTACAGCCAGGTGGCCGGGCTCCCCCCACCCACCCAAGCACCTGCACTAGAGGACAGTCTGAGAAAGGTGTGCTGGTCGGGAATTGCCAACCCTGCCCCATTCTAATGCCCAGAGGGCCGTGGGGAAGGGAAGGGGAAGCAAGTCCCTTTGGGGACCCACCATGTCTCATGGCTCCGACAGCTTTGGTTGACCTTTGGGACACGGCCACACAACAGGCCCACAGAGACACATGGCCCTGGAGGGAGCTGAGGGCAGGCGCGGACATGGGCCAGCTGGAAGGTGCCTGTGAGGCCAGGCAGTGGGGCAGGTGGCATCAGGCCACCAGGTGAAAAGGGCAGCTCTCCCCGCCGCAGATGGAAACGGCTTCCAGGGCTGAGCCCCAAGGGCCCTCCATGTGGGGGCTACACGGATAGGGGCCCAGAAGGAAAGAGAGTTACAGCAACCAACTCAGGACTCACCCCTGCCTCTCCCCACCCCAATCTGGATCCTGCCTGTGCCATCGGACCCCATGGTGGGAATGCCCCACATCACAAAACACCCTGAGCAGCCAAACAGCAGTGGCACCCCACCCCAACCATAGCATGGCCAAGAGCCCCACTGCCCCTCTTCCCAAGGAGATGGCTTTTCCTACCAAGGCAAATAAAAGCACCACAAACCAGGGAAGTTAGAAAAGTCTCTTTAAATTTTTAAATTAAAATTTCACCCTGGTGAGTGAGGCAGGATTCTGACGTGCGAACTAACCCACAGGATCTCCCCCAGGACCCTGGATGTGCAGCCCCAGGGGCAGGGTGCCCGTGGGACAGTCAAGTCCCCAGTGGGCAGAGCCTGGCCTTTGACCCAAGCCGGCTAGTCAGTGCCCTATCAGCCCTGCACAACCAGCTGCAGACAGGGGTGACAACCAGCAATCGGGGGTGAAGAGACGGGGAGGACCCCTGGGTCTAGAACCCCAGGACTGGCAATGGGGAGAGCCTGTGAAGCTTCAGGCCCTCCTGCGGCTGCTGTTGGGCTGCCCCCAGGCCGGAGCAGTGAGGTCCTCTTCCCGATACCAGAAGGCGTGACTGCTGAAAGGAGGCAGCTGACGGAAGATCGTTCCATCTGGCTGTGAAGCACACCCCTGCCCCACAAGACTGGGGCGAGGCTGGGGCGGGGGAAGCGGTGCTGGCCCAAGAGAAGGGCTGTCTCGGCCCTTCCCCTCTGACCCCAGCACCCAAGTGTGCCCCATTCTCACATACATTAGTTATATTTATATATTCATATATATTATAGTTATATATTAAAAAGAGGAAAAAACCTTGCCTGAAGAGAAACTCCTGAAGGACCCAAGTGGCCCAGGAAGTTTACTGTCCCCCCCACCCACAAAAATTCTTTTATAAAATCTTCCAGTGCGATCTTCAGGAAACCCCCTGCCCTCCCAGCCCCCCTCCCTGGCCCTCCTGTGTCTCCACGACCCTGGACTGCCCCCGGCTCCAGCCCAGCGCCCGGCAGCACCCAGTCTCATCTCTGGCCATCCACGGCCGCCATGGCTTTCTGCTGGGCGCCCCCCTGCTGCGCTCCGGGGGGCCACGTGGGCTGTGGGCAGTGGAGGCGGTGGAAGGTGGTGGGGGAGGAGGGTGGGAGCCAGGGCGCCTGGTGGCCAGGGGGGGACGAGGCCCAGAAGTGGCTCAAGTTTGCAGGGGGCGAGCAGGCCCCGGCCGTCATGGGGCTGTTGCTGCTCTGCAGGCCCTCGGAAGCTCGAAGCTTGGAGAACATGGCCAGCGCGTCGGGGAAGTTGGGTGGCGTAGCAGGTGTGTTGCTGGGAGTGCACATCTGCTGGGAGAGAACACAGGTGTGGGGAGGGCTGCTCACTAGGGTCCCAGAGCCTTCCAGGTGGGGCTCGCCCAGCTTGGCCCCTCCCTTACTCCCATTTTTCAGGCCACAAGCAGCTCCAACAAGACAAATGCACCCCTGTCTCGAGCCAGTCGAAACAAAAAGGACAAAACCCAACGACTTTATCAAAACCAAGAGCATTTCATGATGCCTGATAATGACCCCAAGGAGTACCCAAAGTCAACGGTCAATTCCAACCCGAAGCTCAGGTGTCAGATTGCAGTGGGAGCAGAGGGAGCAGGGCAGGACAGTGTGCTCAGCACCTCCCCGGGTGGGGAGACCAGCTGGCTCCCACCACAATCGTCCTGACATGTTCCCAGGTTGTTGCTCAAGGCAGAGCAGCCAAATAGAGGGTCCCCTCCTGTGCCAGCCGTGGGAAAGCTACGCTGTCTCAGTGTGTGGGCTCACTTCGCATGACCAGGGCCACAAGGCCCTGCAGCCTTTGTCCCCCTCTTACTTCTCACAGTGATGCTTGGTAGTTTCAGGTATTCTCTCCATATTACAAACGAGGAAACTGAGGCCCAGAAGTCAAGTCACTTGCCCAAAAATGCACCCCTAGCAGTGCAAGTTCAGAAGATAAATTCCCAGGCTCCCAGGTCTGCAGACCTAAGCTCTTACTGCCCCCCGGACCACACTAGGCGGCATGTACAAAGTCAAGCACAGTTCGGTCTGGACTCCCTGAGGACAGAGCCCAAAGATTTCTGTTTCCCACATCTGCAGCTTATGCCCCATGCCCTTGGCCAGAGGCTGGCAGTTTCTCAGTCTGTCCAGCCCCTCAGCCCTCTTCCTGGGACTCCCACATCTGCTGTCTTCTGCCACTACCTTAGGGAGCCCCTCACTGGGGGCGGGGGCAAGAGCACACATAGAACAAGACCTACACAAAGCTGGTTCGGACCTCAAAGCTGCTTTTTCCTTTCCCAGGAAGCCATAGGAGTTCTTTGAATTTCTCCTAATTTTAGCAACACCGGCCCCTCCCCCAGGCACAGAAGTGGGGGGAGCAAAGACTTTACCATAAAGGAGGGAGCCTTCACAGCTCTGTAGTTAAACCCAAGCCAGAAGCAAGCGGGGGACACACCTGGGAGGGGGACAGCAGCCAGCCCTGTTCACTTAGGTCAATACCACATCAGCCCCTGGGGAGCTCTGACCAGTCTTCCTAAGGGCCTGGCCCCACCCAGACCTTTTCCCTCCTCCCTTTGCTATTCCCTGCCCCACCCCCCAGGGCTGACTTCTCGGCAGCAGGAAACAATGAATGGGGGGTGGGGGCCAATTGCATCACACCATCGTGACCGACTTCCCCAGATCTCCATAGCCAGCAAGGCTTGTCTCCTCAAACGGCCACCAGAGAACAGCCTTTGTGGCTAACAGGCCTGGGCCGGCCTGCAAGCATGAGCCTGGGCAAGTTCCTGAACTTCTGAAGATTCTCGCTGCTTTCATAGAATCAAGGGTTTGGACCAGAGTGCTAAAGCCCCCTCCTCCAGCTCTCAAATGAACCCAGTGTCCACTGCCACCAGCCAGTGCCCTCCGGCTTCCAGTCTGGAGTGCCTTTCTCCACTTCTGGGCCCCTCCAAATCGACTCAGGAACCTTCCTTATCTGGGAAGCTTCCTCCAACTGTGGGAATCTACAGTAATCAATCATTTATCAGGACAATCATCTATCAGTAACTCAGGCCTTGGGGTCACTTCTGCCATTGCCATTTTGCTATTACTGGTCTCCGGTGTTTTTAACTTTTTCCTTTGATTTATTGTGTCTAAAAAAATTGCCAACTCTGAGAGCAAGCATGGTGTTTTCCACTGTGCTGATAAAGTGCTCAATACTTGTGCACTGATGGATATATTGATTATAATGTTACAAAACCTGCCACCTCCCTTAAGGGAAGTTTCCAAAGGGGACTGCAATCCCCCTGGGGTTTGCAGACAAGGGGCAACAGTAACTAGACAGGATGCCAGTACCAGCTCTTCCCAGGGAGCCTCCCTGTGCCCAGCCCCCCAGAATGGCTGCTGGAACAGCCACAGCTGGCAGGAGCAAACCTCAAGGCTTTTGAGAGGAGATGGCAGGGAGCTCCCAGGCTCAAGTGCAAGGTGGGAGCTGGAGATTTCCCACGGTGGATGCAGGGTGGGTGTCTCTGGGTTTACTAAGAGCCCTGAGGCCAGCACCATTCTCCCATCACACTCCAAATGCCATTTTTGTTTGATTTATAACCAGCATGAGCCACTGCAAAAGACAAGCTAGTTAAAAAGGTCAAGACAGACCCTTCTCTACTTGTCCTTTGTGACTAAATGAAAACAGGGAGCCAAGGACAAGACAAAACAGAGGAACCATTTGCAGGCTCTGCTCTGGAGGGAGCCATGGGCAAGGACACCAAGTGTTAAAAATGCCAAAAATGTACTCCAGAAGCCACAACAGATCTGGAGAATAATGTTTTACAGTCCCTACCACTGAGCCCAGCCCCTCCTCCAGAGCCGGCTAATAGGTAACTAGGGGGGTGGGGTGAAGAAGGGATGTTCTGGGCCTCAAGAAAGCAGGGTAGGCCATGGCAAGGAGGGCAAAGGCTTGGGCCTGGGGATAAGCTGGAAACGAGAAGAAAGCAAACCTTGATCTGAGGCCGTATGTATCCGAACATACTGAGATTGAACGCAAATTCTCGGCCTTATCTTGGGTCAAAATCCGTGTGTCCTCCGTGCTTGGGGTATGTCTTTTTCCGGGCTTCCCAGTCCCCTTGGGCTTTAGAAGGGCGAACATACCTTTGTGGGTACAGCCCAGCTTCCTGAGCCACAGTGGATTTATGCCTTTCCTGTTCCCTGTAGCGCTGGGTGTGTGTGTGCGCGGAGGGGGGAGGGGGCTGCCACTCAACAACAAGGGGAACTCCCACAAACACAAACAAACACCCCAACTCCCTGGCCGCCAGCCCTTCAATCGGGCTCCCCAGTTGCCTAAATGCCTGGTTATCATCCGAGTCCCCTCCCCCCTCGCCAGCCACTAGGGTCTCCCAGCCCCTGAGCCCCTGGCTTGTCCTCTGGCCATCTACCCCTGCCTCCTACTCCCCAACTTTGGCGCCCCTTCCCCCAGGGAACGGAGCCAGGCACAAGGCCTCGGGCCAAGAGGCAGCAGCCCAGGAGGCGGGCCACAAAGTTCGAGGAGCCAGCGCCGGCCTGGGAGCCGCTCTTTCCTGGAAGACATTTTGGCTCTTTGTTTACATTCGCGGTGCGGCGCTCCCCGGCAACATGGCTGTCACCGCCGGGGCTGACAGCGGCCCCGGCCCGCGCCCCTTGGCCCCGGCCCGGCCCCGCGCCCGCCGGCCCTGCTCCGGAACCCTCCTCCCCTCCGACGACACTTACCATCTGGTGGTGGTGGTGACTGTTGGGAATGTTGGTCTCCTGGAAAAACGTGCTCAGGGCGGTCTGCGGACAAACACGGCGGCGGAGCGGCGGTGAGCCCGGCCCAGGCCCGGCAGAGGGCAGGAGACCCACCGGCCGGCCTCCCCGCTGGGCTGCACCCCGTCTCTGCTCCCGGCCCCCGGCCCCGACCGCCGTGCCCCAAGTGCATGGGGTGCCGGCCTTGGCCCCACGCGACACCCGCTCGCGGGCGCGGACCGCCTGACCGGCCGACGCGAACAGAGCTCCCCGCCCCGCCGCAGCCCGGCCCCCGGCCCGCGGCCCCCGCCGGGGCGCGCGCGTCCGACGGGGCGGCCCGCACGCACCTCGAATTGCCAGTGGGCCGCCTGCAGCAGCTGCTTCGCCTGGTCGGCCGCGCAGCCCGCGGTCAGAACGAACTGGTTGATCATGACCTGGTGCCGCAGCTCGTCCGTGTTCACCGACATGGCGCGACGCGGCGATCGGCGGGCGCGGGGGCCGGCCGCCCGGGGCTCGCGCTCGGCCGCCGCTCCGCCGCTCGGCCGCCGCCGGCGAATGTTGTGGTCCGGCGCCCGCGGCCGGCCGACACCACAAACAACAGCGCGGGGCGGGGCCGCTGTCCCAACGTTCGGGGGCCGCGAGCCGCCGCCGCTGATTGGCCGGCGCGCCGCTCCGCCAGCGCCCGGCTCCCTGACCGACGTTCGATTCGAATCCTGCGGCCTGCCGGGCCGCACTGTTTCTCTTTCGGCCCGGCCGCGCCCATTGGCGGAGCTCGGCGCCGTGGGGCTCCCGGGCATTGGCCGGCCGCTGTGTTTTGGCTCATCCGGCCTCGTGGTTGGCCGCGGCCGGGAGTTCGGGGCGGGGCCTCTCGCGCTGATTGGCCTCCCGGGGTCCTGTTTGAACTCAACTTGAAAACCTTGAGTGCCTGCTGATTGGCCGAGGCCCTCTGTTTGCTGTTGTAGGCTTGGGGGTGGTGCGGCCAAGTTCATTCATTACTTCATTCAAACTGAACATGCTCAGCTGGAAAAGCAAGACAGAGTGGCTTTGACTCACTTCCTCTGAAAGACGTGGTCATCTCGAGAAACAGAATGATCAAAATAGAAAACAGACAGAGCCTTTGCAGCTGCTCAAGTCTCAAAAGCATTTAATTTTTTAAATAACTTTCAAGTAGTCCCATTTTTTGAAATCTTTTATTGAAATATAAGACACATAAGGAAAGTGTGGATGTCACAGGTACTGCTCGCTGACTTTTCACAAAGTGGACAGCCCCGAGATCAATTAACAGAACATTACCTGTACCCCAAGAACCTCCTCCCTGCCACCTTCTAATCACTACCCACCCCCAAGGATCGAGCAGTCTTTTCCTAGGTTTTAAACCAAAGACTTTGCTCTCTGGAGATGTAAGCCAATATTAATGTACAAGGAAAAAAGTGAGACTTTCTTAGTGACTAATATCCCAAGATGAGTTGTTCCCCCCTCCCCAGACAGGGTCAGGCTGGAGTGCAGCAGCATGATCATAGCTCACTGCAGCCACCAACTCCTGGGCTCAAGGGATCCTCCGGCCTCAGTCTCCCAAGTAGCTGGGACTGTTAGTGAATGCTCGGCCACTTGGTCCTCGAGGCTGCATCAGAAGAAAGAGAATAAGTGGTTTGTGGATGAGGAAAGAGAAGTTTTATTACTTTGCTGGCAAAGGAGGAGGATGGAGACCCCTGTCTGAAATGCCATCGTCCCAATAATAAGCAGAAATGCAGAGCTTTTAAAGGATACGTTCTCAGCTTCAGGCAATTACTATTCAACTACAGTTGATGATTCTGATCTCCCACCTCTGCTCCTCTACCCCCACCTCCCTTTACCAGGTCCTCGGCTGAGCCATCTACTTTAGCACAAATAATAAAAGACTTACCCTGTCCCTCCCAACCACTGGCCTGAGGCAGGGATGTAGATTTTAGTTCTCAAAAAGGAGTGGAGCATGTTTTAAAAAAACAGAAAATATCTTTTGCTATTTTCTCAGGCCATTCCGTCTGTTACATATTCCCCACTCTCAATATTTCCTTCCCATATCTATGGGCGGAGGGCGACTAGTCTGTTACAATACTAGCTCTCAACAACAGCCCTTTAAAATCATTCATAAATGCTAAACTTCCACCTTCTGGATTAGAATTTGACCTTCAGGGCTGTGTTTAGGACTTGTGGGGGTAAGAACTAGGAGTCTCAGCAGATTGGGGAAGGGGCAGAAAAGGTTAGGAAGGTAAATATTGTTAGGGATTCACTGTTAAGAGTTTCTGTTTCCAGAAAACGTAGTGTTTTTTTTATCTGAGCTACTAATTACCAAATACATTTTAACTAGTTAAGGGTCTTCAGAACAGAAAGAGGCTAATAGTAAGAAAGCAAGCCATGGTTCTGTTTTGACTTTGCCTAAAGTGGATTTAACTCATCATCTAAGAAAACTTGTCTATATATATTTTTAAGTATATAAATAAGGGAAAGGTTACAACTAATGCTTATGTACTGCATGTATGTATGTAGCCTTGGGCACTATAATGAGTTAATTCCACTTGGTTAGTCTTTTTGTTTGCTTATTTATTTATTTTGAAGGGGTAGGAGTCAGCTTTTTCCCGTGCATGGGCTGAGACCCAGAGCGTGACCAGAGAGTGCAGTACAGCTTGCAGCCCTTACCTTCCAGTAATCGACGGTGAAAACAAAAGTGAGCAGCCGGTGGCTTAACATTGCCAGGGAGCTCAGGCCACAAGCAGCCCTAGAACAAGGAAGTACTGTCATTGTGGAGCGCCAGGTTTTCACAAGTACATACAGGTGTCAAACATGCCAGGGCCATGAGTAGTAGGGTCTGCTCTGGGCAGAGACATTTCTGGCTGCAGTAGAACATCCCCCATGACCCCCTAGGTCTTAACTAAGAAGTTCTCAAGGAAGACAAGGGTCCCAAATTGCCAAACCTGTTATTTCCTAGATATCAAAGCAGTTTATCCAGAAGGTTCGTTTAAAGTTTACCGTTTTTAGGGCACAGCTGTGGGCACCTGAATGAGGCAGGGAGGGCCAGGCCCCCAGGCCAGAGGGACAGGGTTCTGGTTATCTTCTGTAGGTGTAAGGTCACTCTGGGAACAGGGAGGGAAGGCAACAGAGCCTGAGATTTGTGGTCCTGAGAGGGGGAAGTGCTTAATCAATATTTTGGCTTCTGAGAATCTAGTTGGAGATGAATAGCTGGAAACGTGGGAGTGCCCCCCTCCTGGGAGCGTAGGGAGGATGAATGAGGTCATATTTGTAGAGGGCTTTGAGCTACTGGGATGAAAGCAACTTCCTAAGTGCAAGGTATTATTAACTGAAGGTATTATTATTTTAATCGGAGAGGACAATATATGGCAGGTGAAACGGAGCAATAAAAACATGGACACTAACAACAAATAAAACGCCGCAGCCTTAGAAAGAACCAAATCCTTGTTGCATCAGTGGTCTAGGCTACAGAGCAAGCAGCGATGCAGCAACTGAGAAGAGAAACTATCTTAGCCAGTATTTCCTCGGTGCCCAGATAACAAGCGTGTTGTGAATGCAAGTCATCGAGTCAGCCCTGAAACCAGCACCCACTAGCTGGACCCTAAGAAACAGCTGCCACTTACCAAGCACTTCCTGTGAGCCAGGCCCCTAAGAGTTTGATGTCTATTAACTCATTTTAATCCTCCCAACAATCCAGAATCCCATTTCACAGGTGGGGCAGCGGAAGGACAGAGGAGGGGAGGAGTTTCCCCGAGGTCACACAGTAGTAAGTGGTGGAGTAAGGCAGTGGTTAACCGCTACACCCTACTACCTCCCTTAATGCTTAAGTTGTCACCTCAGTGCAACTCACAAGGGGCCCCTTTCCGACCAAGAGCTATCAAGGGCTCTGAGATTTCCAGTGGCGATGCTTGAAATGAGTGAGCCCCCAGTGGGGAAAGAAGGGCACCAGCTGTCCCGGGAGAAGATGGGGAGTGGTGGAGAACTGGCCTTCCTAAACCCCGTTACTGCAGCACGTCATTCGATTCCTATTCCCTTTTTCCTCCTTTCCACCTTTTACTCCCCTAAATGAACAGACCCAACAAAGCTGAGAGAGGGAGCTTGAGGGCTCTGGGAATTCCCAATAGGCCTGAGGCTCAGAGAGTGCTGGAACCTACTCAAGGTCAGGCAACACCCTCCCTGCCTCCTACCCCCCATGATTTGTAGAGGCACTGGGATTAGATCCAGGTTTTGTTGATCCAAAAGCTCATTTCCTTCCTCCCTCCCTTCCTTTCTTTCCTTCCTTCCTCTAATTTTTATTTCTTGTTTCCTTACTGTTGCTTGAAGATGCCAGGACAAAAGGACAAGGTGGCCAGGAGAGGCAGGAAGATATTGCGAGAAGGAGAGGGGGAATGAGAGAGGATGGAGCAGACAAACTACAAACAAGCAGCACCAAGGCCAGGGCAGCTGGGTTAGGCTGGACGCACGTGCGCC